AATGTCGATAAACGTTATTGTAACATGGCGAACAGGCGAAGTCGAAGGTCTAGAAATATGCTCATGTGTTGTAAAATCTTTCAATAAACCGCATATCGAGGTATAATTTTATGTGCGCGGAAAATGTTTCTGACAAAACCTATATACTTTTGCAGCAAAAAATGCATGCGCCTCTTCATTCATAAAAATTAGGTTCAATGCAACCGAATGGTTGCATTGAAAACTAAAAATAATAATATTGATGATATTTGCTATTTTTGCGCAAGATTTGAAAGTAAGTGATGGATTAACTACATAATAGCGGGTGTTCCCCGAAAAAATGATTATTTTATAGGTTTTTTTTGTATTACAAAATGTTTGTTCCACAATGGCGTCATACGAAAAAGCAAAAACACAAATAAAAATATGGCGTATTTCTTATACAGTGCTTTAGTTCTATTTGCGCCATTATACGAGACTTTAGTTGAGTAATGTTCTCTAAGGACGCGCTAAAAGTGCAGTTTATACATGCAATATTAAAATTTTACAGGGTTGCTAATGTTAAAGTGGACTAAGACAAAAGTCGTGACAAACATTTTTTCTTTTTCACTGAAACATCGAATAAAGGATTTTTTAACAGGATTTAAGCAATATACGAACAAACACTTATAGTTAATTGCATGACCTGAAACCTTACATCTATTTTACTATTTTGTATTTTTTTTCTAACCAAAATAGATTATCTTCATACAAACTGCCCAATCTGGCAACTTATCCATCAGGATCGTTTCGACGTGCCGTTGAAATGTTTAAAATAGTGGAAACGATAGAGAAAGGCAAGAAAGAACTGTTCCAGAGTCATGGGAACATAATAATACTTTATTTTGGCCAAAAAAATGGGCATACAAAACTTCAGAAAGAAGCGGATTCAACTCCAGAATGAATTGAAGGTTGAGTTGTATAACGGAGTTCTAGTAAACCTTTTATTCTGAAAGCGACAATTTATTGATATACGAATTTTATAATAGTTACAATTTCTGAGCTTATAAACGCACTATAAAATAGTTTTGAAGTAGTTCTTTAGAAGCTGTAATCTATTAATAAATATATACATCTTCTATCAAAACCATTTGATGGAGTAAGCTATACAACTTAGTATAAAATGTATAAAAAACTGTTTTATAGAAGCTGCATTACCAATCATTAGAATAGCAGTTCTTTTATCTATCTTTTGTAACTGTTTTGAGAGGACTTTGTAAAAAGTTATATTAGCTATTTATACAATAAGTTACGAAATGAGCGTCTTTTAGGCACGCGACGTGAAAATTGTCCAACGAGGCAAAGCCGAGTTGGACAACACGTCGAGTGACTAAAAGACATCGTTTCGTAACGTATTGCATACAAGATTTTTTCTACTGGCATTTTATAATAAAAAAACACAATTTTATTTCATGTGAATAAGTCGATTACACCCAAAATCTTTGTTACCTGCTTTTACTTGACACCTGACACTTTTCATGCGATTTTCTTTTCAAAATTCGACATCAATAATTAAAATCCTAGAAAGTAGGTAATAACACAAACTTCTGTTTTGAGTAACCCAAACGTTCAATTCAGTAATTCCATTTTCAATATTCATAATAAATGCAAAACAAAATTCAAATCTGTGTTCAGTGTGTTTTTTATTTCTGAATAATGGATGACACTTTTAGGCACTAGTGCTTAAAAATTACTTTTACGCACTCATAAGTCACTTTTACGCATTCAAAAGTCACTTTTACGCACTGAGTGCCTAAAAGTAACTTTCACGCACTCAGTGCCTAAAAGAATGTCGTTTCAAAACTGAAATGACAATCGAAAAGTTGCTATTATGAAACGTCAGTAGAAAAAAATATTTATACAACGCTAATAAAACATAGATACATCCGATTGCTGTTTGTTCTTTAATTTTTGTTGTATATTAACTCTTACAACCAAATTATAGAATAATTTGGATCATTCCCTAAAAGTGCGTCAACTCTTGGCGTTATAGAACAAAACTCTTCTCAAAACGGCACTAACGGATGTCTAATACTTTTGTTCTTTTGGATATTTATTTTGCTAGTTGGGTGCCATTACACAATAAGTCACTTATTTATATCGAAAGTAGCTATAGCTACTTGAACCAAATTGAGTTTGCGAATTAAAAAAATGAATAACTAGTGATAAGCATGAGCTAATATAGATAGATAATATCATGATTGACTATTTCAAAGCTCGAGAATAGTATTGGATGTTTCCAATCTTTTAATCTATCGATTAAAGGGGTGTGACCCTAAAAAACGACTCAAGCTACTTAAATCAAGAAAAAAATTCCAAGATCTTTCGTGAAAACCGCAGTCCTATATTTAAAATAGTTTCCGAGAAAATCCTTTATCAATATAAGTTATGCAGGAACTTGTGATGTCACAACCGCCGAAATAGCAGTTTTCTGTTCGTTCAGTCGTCATTGAACCGTACCCTATACTTTGAGTGGTTGCAATTCGCTCTAGGAGATAATTGCCTTTTGTTTTGGAAATTTTTTACAAGTGCTAATACTGTCCCTGATAATCCAGTGTGACGTCACGAACGGCTAATTGTAACTTTAAACCGCCCTAACTCGAAAACTGACCATCGTAGCAAGATGCGGTTTAATTATTTGTTCTTAGATTTTTTTGCACTAAATCTTTCATATTTGGGTCACACCTCCTTTTCAAGTAGATGAAGAAGTAGGTATGTGATAATTTTTAATAGCATTGAAATTTGAATATGTGTATAGGTCATAACATTATGACACAGATCAATTAATTACGAATAGATCAGCGATCAAAAATATAACTTTTTGTGAGAAATCGTCAAAATTATTTCCAAAATTTTGCGTCACGACGCAAAGGATGGAAAGACCAAAACATGTTTCTCTAAAAAAAAAAACTGGATCACGGGTAATTATTTAAAAAGGAAACCTTTTTTTTGTTAAAACAGCCTGGAGCTTGGAAACAACGCATTGAGGATATGATTTGATGAAATAAATTTTAACATCTAATGAATTTCTATAACAACAAACTGAGACAGAATGCATATAGCTTTCCAATTGAATTTGTTGTAAATGTTTCATAGGCCATATTATAATGCCATATATTTATGTATTTGATTAGATACAATTTGTAAAATTAAGATTTTGGGTACATAATATAATAGAATTTTATAGATTAGGCTTTAAACACGCTAAATGAAACTCCTTCACCTTTATATTATATAAATGTTACTATGTCTTATGTAGGTGTCAATATATACCTTAGTAATAAGTTATATTATAGATCTACAATTTATTGATGTTATTGTACCACGGAAAGCATTGAAATGAAAAAAGAAAATGTCAAATTATAAATTACATTCTGGCTGTGACGTTATCATAGGTATGTTTAATGTGTTGAATATATTTATTATTTATTTACTTCATAGTATTATTTTTATGTATTTCCCAATTTTCATAACAAGTAGAATTTTTCCAACATAGTTCACTACCTTTAGCTCCTCCGCTCCTCCTGCGGGCCGATCCTCGAGCCAGGGAGTAGAGCTCCTCGAGAGAACAAATTTTTCGTCTTTATCATTCTCATTTACTTTTCGATTACGTTGACAAAGACAAAACATTCGTTCTATCGGGGAGCTCTTCTCCCTGGCCCGAGGATCGGGAGCCTGGACGTCTATTGAATATAAATAAAGCAAAAAACTGAAAAATATCAACAGACAAATGCAAGGAAACCAAACACCACACAAAACCAAATCAACAGGTTTAAAGGGGCAACAGGATACCCTAAGTTTTTGCTTTTCGTAGACTGTATTATTGATAAGTAGGAAAGGAAGAGAATGAAAGTCAAAAGTGCGAGCTCTTTAACAAAACACCATCCATTGCTTCACAATCACAAATCACAGGCAAAGTTTACATGGGTAAAGCAGGAACAACAGCGCCCGGTTGAAACTGTATGGTAAATTTTAACACGTAAATAACAAAAGCTCGTACTAAAGTTTCTTGAATAATTACAGTATCAGTTCGCTACTGAGCTCACTGGCAATTTTATCCCGATTTTGGAACGTTAGAAATAATAGAAAGAAGCGTGTGGCCGTACCGCGTCAGGAGCAATGATCCCTTTCAAGGTCTAATTGCAATTATTGTAATTAATTTCACTTGTTTAAATAGAAATTAGAGCAAATTATTTACTACGCCACCTGCTCCGCGACAACAACAAGATCGTGCAGTTTTGATTGGTGCACCGACTCACCTGAGTTTTAAATGGGCCAATCAGGGCGCAAGAAACATATCCTTGGAATTATGGGATCTAAAAACAGCAAATGTCCTTGAATAATAGGGCACCAAATAAATATATTTTTGGGTTTTAATTTAATTTTTACCATCTAAATTATTTCTATATTTTTAAATTATTATTATTTTTAAATTATTAAGAATCTCCAGCAAGCTGTTTGTGTTATAAAATGACATTACTGTCATTTCAATTTCATTCATCCTTCAAATCCTGAAAAGGTCTATGAGATAAGTTGGAGTGTAAAATTTCTGGAGAGTATAAAATGCTCTGCTAACCAAGTATCTTTCAAGTTGTTCACCAAAAATATCAACTTCGTGATGTTAATACTTTCGTAAAATGTAACAGAATTTTTTGGTATGGGCGAAGGCAAAACCTACAAAATCATATCCATGTTCCTTAGTGTCCTTCACAATTATTATGAACCCAACAACGAAAATCATTATTCTAGCGTATAGCTATTCAAAAGGGAGATGAGGCCTTTGTGCAGATTTTCATAGAGTAGACAATTATTTTCATTCGAAATTTCTCCGGTATAGCTTTCATGTAGAAATCTGAAAGCCTTACAATTTGCGGTTCCTTTGCCTCCGGTCTATGTGTATTTTTCTCCATTCTCGGGCAGCTACCTACCTAATTTGATGCTTGTCCATTAGGCTACCTACTTACTCTAAATTAAATCCACTATTGTTTATGTAATTATTTATTTTATGAGTTTACGCGATTTGCATACAAAAAACTTAAATTATTCGTTGAACAGAATTCCATAGGCTCCGAAAGCTAACGCAATATCAGCTTGAGCCCAGAATCTGTGGTAAGTGAAACTTGGTACTGGACCGCCCTGAAGGTACGCCTCTACTTTATGCCATTGAGGATCATTCTTGTACCAAGAACGGAGTTTAATGAAAGTAGCAGAAGAGTCAATAACATCACCGTTGGGGTAGGTACCAGTCCATCCGGAAGGTACATACACGGGTTCGTTGAAACGGGAGTAGTCCGGACGTGGTTCTTCTGTAGCAATACCAATGTCGGTTTGGTAAAGGTTGTAGAGTCCATCCAAAAGTTTCTTGGCTACAGCCTTGGCATTTGAGTCACCGGATTTGGCTGCGTAGTAAGTTAGAGCACGAGCAGTGGAAGAGGCAGTACCCAAGTCTTTGCCCCACGTCGTAACAGCTACATGTACGTTTGGTGGGTTTCCAGACCAGGCCAAGCTAGATGGCATTTTGAAGTCATCGCCGTTGAATTTAATTACACTGATAGCCCAAGATACCCATTTGTCCAGGATGGATTTGGCTTTGCTGTCTCCAGACACGTAGTAGTATTGGGCCAGACGGTCGACGGACCAGGATTGCATACCAAACCATTGGTTAGATGGTGGGTCATGGTATACCTATTGAAAACAACGAATTACTTATTGATTGCTGGTAGTTGCAAATAGAATATTTTATAGTTGATCGTTAGGGAAAGATAGAAAAATTACTTGAAACTTTCACATAATTAAGAAAATTTTGATATGATAATATAGTTTATGATCCATCAACTAGGTACAAGTGCTCAAAAACTTAAATCAACATATTTACTACTTATTGTATATGCAAAATAGGGAACTGCTATAATAATAAAAAGTTACTCACTGGTTCCCAATCGTAAAACATTCCATGGAAAGTGTCATTACGCAATTCAGATTCTGGTTGAGCATATCGTCCTTTCCAGGAGTTAGTTACACCGCCAGCGAAAGCACCTTCACTAGTTTGCAAGTATTCGTACAATTCGAGTTGTCTTTGGAGAGAAGTGGTCCAGTCTTCTACGGCGGTATAACCTCTGGGCTTGAGGCTAGAATCTTGCGACAAAGCGTAAGCAGCAAGAGGGTTTTGGTAACCGAAGTGAGAGGCACCATCTCCAATACGCCAAGACCAGCCGTATTGTGCGTTGTAAGAACCTCCCCAGGACACGTACCAGTTGATTAGGTAGTGAGCACTGTCTTTCCAAGTACCACCTGGGCAGCCCCACGGGTCGACGCAGTTTCCGATTCTCTTGAAGTACTTGTCGAATAGTGAATATCTGAGGTAGTCGCCCATTTTGGAGGCTTTGCTTAAGGTACCGGTGATTGAGCTTTGGATACCTTTTTCGGTGGCCCAGACATTAGCCCAGTAGGCGGCTTGAACGGCCCTAGCATCAGCATCAGGGGCGGAGGTGTATTTGTATTGGGTGGCGTAGGAATTGTCTTTGGTGAATAGGTCCAAGAAACCATTACGACCTCCATAACTATGAAAAAAAGCGAATGATATCATTGAAGTATTTTGGAATATGGGTTAAAAAAAATGCTGAAATTACTTGATTGTGGTATTTAGAGAAGTTTGAAATAAGGTGTGTAACGATTTCACTCTTCCTGAAGTGCTCGTTATTCAAGGGGATGAGTTTGAATCACCAAACTACTGAAAAGCAAAGCAATAAAGCAAACAAATAATAATATCACTGTTTATTGCTTCATTGATACAAGATTTGTAGTAACCCCTTACACAAGAATTAAATGACAGAGAACACATAACTGCGAAATCCCAAACTCACAGAGTATAGCAAAAAATGGTTACGCTTTTACTAGCATTTTAAATAGCACTAGTAAGCCAATAACCCTTGATATTTCACAATCATTTAAGATTTAAGGTAGAACCATTCAATCGAGAACAATGGAAAAAATTATTTTAAATAATTTCGAAGACTCACTTGATTGCAAACCCAACTGACTGAATGTTCTCAAATCCGCACCGATCATCTGAATGCAGAGGAAAAAACGAAAATCACCAAACTGTGTGTGTATTTTATCAAGAAAACATGCCACTGACATTTACAAGTAAAATAAGACATTTAAATAAAACTAGTCATGAACAACCTGTACCTATATAGTCAAACCTATAGATACTCTTATTTACATAAAAAAGAAGTCGAATCACAGATGGAAAAAATATTGGACCAAAACGTCATTCGCCCATGCAACCCTCCTTGGTCATCGCCAATTTGGGTGGTTCCAAAGAAAGCAGATGCTTCTGGAAAGCAGAAGATATTCGTGGGGTCAACGTGAAAACTATAGCAGACACATACCTCCTACCGAATATAACTGACCTATTAGACAAATTAGCAAAATGTCAATATTTTACTACATTGTACTTGGCCAGCGGATTTCATCAGAATACAGATGAACAAGAACGACATAGAGAAAACCGCATTTAATACGGAAAATGGCCATTGAGAATTTCTGCGTATGCCATTTGGGCTGAAGAACGCCCCCGCAACTCTCCAAAAGACCATGGAGAGTATAACGACGAATTCAGAACGAAAAATGTCTTGTATACCACGACGACATTATTATATTTTCCACGTCGCTACAAGAGTACTTAGAACGACTCAAATTGGTTTTCCAAAGATTACGTGAGACCAATTTGAAAACTCAATTGGACAAAAGTGAATTCCTCCAGACGAGAAGTAGCATATTTAGGCCATATAGTGACATCAAAAGGAGTACGAGCAAATCCAGACTTAATCAAACCCATAAAAAATTACCCAATTCCAAAAACTACAAAACAAATTAAGGACTTTCTCGGATTACTTGGATATTATAGTCTTTTATAGATAATTTTGCAAAAATCACAAAACCACTCACGAAATGCTTGAAGAAAGGCGCAAAGATTGAACACAACCAAGAAGTTATCGAATGTTTTGGAAAATTGCAAAAAATTGCTTGTAAATGAACCTATATTACAATACCCAGACTTTTCTAAGACATTTAACTTAACATGTGAGGCTAGTAATGTAGCTCTAGGCGCTCTGTTATCATAAGAGCCCATTGGACAAGATTTGCCTATATACTTAGCCTACGCATCTCGCACGTACCTTGAATGGTTCAGATCAAAATTATTCCAGTATTTTGAAATGAATGTGAAATATGTCAACGAAGTAAATACGAACGGCACCCACTAAACATGGAAATGTATTAACAGGTTGAGCGCCACCGTCCAGTATACTGGACAGAAAGGTTTCTACTAAATAGCATCTGAATTAGCTATTAAAATTGCGGGATATGGCAATAACTTGTTTTCCATGAAGCGGGCCACCACAGAAGCTTAAAATTTCAGTTTTTGCTTGATTTTATCATTTCTTGATTATGTTCAGTATTTATTGGAATATCCTTTCGTTATTATTATTTTAAGAAACTTTTGTTTTATGTTTTCGTTATATTTTATCTTTTTTATATTATGTTCAGTGTCTATTAGAAGAATATCCTTGAGTTTTTAATATTTTCAGAAACATTCTCTTTGTTATTGACAATAACTATAAATGGATATTGATATATGAATAGATCCAGTATACTGGACTGGTGGGATATTTTAGTTACGATCATTAAAATATTCCTACGTCCAGTAAAATGGAAATTCACTTACATTTGTCAAATTGACAGATATCTTACATTGAATGTCTGAATAATGTATCTGTATCTATCTATAAATATAAAAATCAATGTTTGAGGGGTATCCGGCTATGCGCTCCTACACCACTTATCCGATTACGATGAAACTTTGGTAGGTTGTTATGATCATCCCAAGGAAGGTTTGTGGATAGGTTACGCATCTCGGAAAAAGAAATTAATTTTGAATTTATTATTAATTTAATTGTAAACAAACTCATTCACATTACATAACAACATAACCCAATTTTTTTTGGACAGCATGAAACAACGTTGCCATATTTCATTTATTTAGGCTTGCTATTCAACCGACGTAACTTTATTATTTTTTGAATTCGAGAACGGCTGGACCGATCTTGAATTTAATACCACGTATCTCTATATAATTTGAATTCGATTGACCCAGATTAGATCGATTTGGGTTCAATTTAAGTGAACTTCTTCTGATCTAGATCATTTTTTTGTTGATGAGGGTGCACTGATCCAGCCTCAAACGAACGTGTGGTTCACTTAAATTGAACCAGATTGATCTAATCCGGTCAATCGACTTCGGCTATAGAGGAGAGTGATATAAAGTGTGTTTTTTTTTTAAAGATAATTCCCCAAGTCAAAGATTTAGTAACTATGTTGGCAACACAAGCCTTTTCTACATAAAAAAAATTGAAAGCATTGACATTTCACATTGTATTGCCAACATAATGTCATTTTGACTTTTATCTTTTAAAAAAAAAACAGACTTTAGGCTATTTTTTATCCCGAAAAAAAAAGTTCGGTTGCGCGAAACTCTGATACACTGGAACGCCTATAAACAGCTCGGGGCGCTCTAGAGCAGCTCTAGAGTGCTTAAAATGCGTCACTGAACGCACTGGCAAGAGACTTTGGTATCGGATAAAAAAAAATAAAATTAAATAGAAAATCAACAACAAAATTTGAAAAAAAGTGTATTATTTCAAAATGTATTTCAACTCTGGCAACGCAGCGGGTCATTAGCTAGTAATAAATAAATTTGAAATACTATTATTTGCTTTTGGGCCCAGGGAGAAGTTCATTCAATGTACCGTCGCACTCAACCTGTTAATGAATATTACACCCATGACAACCAAACGTTTTGAAACTATCCTCCGTAATACATATACATCACATGAAGTTAAATTTCTCACAATTATTGACAGTTTTTCCAAGTATACACAAGCTTACGCCTTAAATTCATTATCAGCCACCGAAATTAGTGATAATTTAATATCGTTCTTTTCACATCACGGTGTCCCATCTAAAATCACTTCAGACAACGGAATTGATTTTGGAAAAACAGTGATCACAGAATTATTACAACTTCATAAAAAAAATAATAATTTTGCGCACCCGAGAATCCCCAGTCAAACGGTGTTATTGAGAGATTACACTCCACCTTATCTGGAACACGTAATAATTGACCTTTTCAATTAGGCTCTCCAAACCACGTGATTTTTCAATATGGCGACCGTGGAAAATTTGACGTTTGTTTGTTTATCCTCAGTTTATTTGGAATATTTTCAAGCTAAATACAGTTTACTTTGTTATAATATACTTTTTGAGATGCAGAGTGAATATTTAAAACTTGAATGCAGGAAAATCGGGATCTGGGCGAACGGTTGGTTTAAAAAAAGGTCCAGATGACATTTTAATCCACAGTTCACATTAATGAGCAAATGAAGGCCTAAAAAAGCTTAGATTCTTACGAATATTTCGAAAATGGCTTTATTTCAGATGCACGAACAGTGGTAGTGAAAAATTTTCACGTTTTAATTGGAAAATTTTAAAACGGTGGGCAATGAAAAAAGCCTGACATCATCCTTGTTACCTTGTTGAAACTACTTCCACAATCAACTTCAAGACCCGTTTGTGGCATTTTTAATTGGAAGAAACACTAATGGTCAATAAAATAAAAAAAATAAACAAAGTTCATTCACAAAACAACCACAAAATGCACTTTAAAAAGCTTTAAATTACATACTCTCATATACGGGATAATGAATTTCTGCCACGACGCACTTTTTGACACTTTTTGACAGGTCGTTGGAATGCCTAATTTGAAAACCTCTCTCTCTGGCATCAGACTGTCAGACGTCAAAAGAATATGAAAACAATGGTTGACTTGACAGCCGTTGACAGTGGTTTGTTGACAAGACTTTTATACGTGTGGAAACTGGAAATTATTACTTCCTTGGTTTTTTCAAGGTTTTTTCCTAATAATAGTGATTGTGTGTAAACTGCCTTTTCGTAAAAATAATATCTATTCACCGGCGGACGTGACTTTCCATAAGTTTCCATCAAATCCTACATTTGTCAAAATTTGGATCCACAAAATCAGAAAGGATACTCGCAAAAGAATGAGAAATCCACAGCCCATCAAGTATATAAAGAAATCCACGTTCAAGTTTAGTTTTCGGAAACTGTTTGCTTTCAAAATAATCCACCGCCCTCTCCATAGCGAAGTTCTGCAAATGAAGCAGTGACTTTCCCACATTTTTTCCAATTTCAAATTTCTAAACACCCTACACATGACATTGACAAGCAAGCAAATGTTGGCGGGAAAATGAATGTTTTCATACTTATCGTCCATCTCTTTTAATTGAAAACGTCAATTCTAAATAATGTGGCCGATACATATCAAACTGCCCGACGGGGCACACTGCTATGCATGAAACTGCCCCACGGGGCACTTTGATACGCATCAAACTGCCCCGTTCATTAATGTATCGCCCCACCAAATCTACTTTAGGAATAATTAGCCTCAAAAACAACTACAAGAAATTAACAAAATATC